AAAAAATTTTTAAATTACCTGGGTATGGTAGCAAGAAACTGCAGTCCCAGCTACTCAGGAGGCTGAGGCTGGAGGATTGCTTGAGCCCCAAAATTCAAGCAGTGAGCTATGATCACACCACTGCATTCCAAACTGGGCAACAAAGTGAGACCCTGTCTTTTTTTAAAAAAAAAAAAAGGATGAACTGGGCATGATGGCTCACGTCTGTAATCCCAGCACTTTGGGAGGCTGAGGTGGGGGATCACTTGAACACAGGCGTTTGAGACCAGCCTGGGCAACATGGGAAGACCCCGTCTCTACAAAAAAAAAAAAAAAAATTCCAAAAATAGGCCAGGTGTGGTGGCTTACGCCTGTAATCCCAGCACTTTGGGAGGCCGAGGCGGGCAGATCATAAGGTCAGGAGTTCAAGATCAGCCTGACCAACATGGTGAAACACCATCTCTACTAAAAATACAAAAATTAACTGGGCATGGTGGCGTGCACCTGTAATCCCAGCTACTCAGGAGGCTGAGGCAGGAGAACCGCTTGAACCCAGGAGGCGGAGGTTGTAGTGAGCCAAGATCATGCCACTGCACTCCAGCCTGGACAACAAGAGCGAAACTCCATCTCAAAAAAAAAAAAAAGTGTAGAAATATACCTATAGGAGGACATGATGGCTCATGCCTGTAATCCAAGAACTTTGGGAGGCCAAGCCGGAAGGATCACTTTAGGTCAAGAGTTCAAGACCAGCTTGGCCAACATGGTGAAACCCCATCTCTACTAAAAATACGAAAATTAGCAGGGTGTGGTGGTGCACGCCTGTAATCCTAGCTACTTGAGAGGCTGAGGCAGGAGAATCACTTGAAGCCTGGAGGTGGAGGTTGCAGTGAGCCTGGAACCATTGCACTCCAGCCTGGGCGATAGAGCAAGACTCCGTGTCAAAAAAAAAAAAAAGAAAAGAGATACTAATACAGCATTCTAACTTGTAAGCTTCAAATGATGTGGCAATAATTTTCATTTCTTTTGCTATTTCTTTTTTCTTTTTCTTTTTTTTTTTTTTTAGCACCAGTGTCCTTTTCTGTCAGCCAGGCTGGAATGCAGTGGCATGATCACAGGTCACAGGTCTTGACCTGGCTTCAAGCAATCCTCCCATCTCAGCAGCGAGTAGCTGGGACTACTGGCTTACTAGCCAGAGCCATGCACCCAGCAATTTTTTTTTTTTTTTTTTTAGAGAGAGACTGGGTCTTGACATGTTGCCCAGGCTGATTTTCATTTCTGTTAGACTCATCTTTTTTCTTAATTCTTACTTGAATTTCCATTCCAGTATAATAATGAGAGTCAAAGGAAGGTTAAAATGTACCTTATTTAAAACTGCTAATCTTTATAATTACTGACAATGCATCTCTGATATTTCTAAAATGAAGACACCTTCCTTTTCTACAAACTCAGAAAATGCCAATGAACGATCTTAACATTTTTTAAGTTCAAAACATTTTGGTGACAGACATAAGTCTACTGAAAGGTACAATAGTAGATATTCATGTTGCTTTGCTATACTGGCACTACCATTTATTTGTCATCTGTAAAATGACAGCTAGTGCCTTACTCATAGTAGTCAATAAATGTTCCTTTTCTTTCCTTCTTTCATTGTTTCAATGCGACTTACTCTTCACTGATATTTTAACACAGAATATAGGATGTCTTCAAAGATACTTGGTAATATAGAGGCTGATGTAAGAACACACAAATAAATAATAGTAGGTTTAATTTTTCAAGTTAAAAGGACTTCTTCACCTCATTTTGTCCAATGTACCAAACACCTTAAATTGCTGACGAATTTGGTTCTTTCAGCTAACAATGTCAAAGTTTTAGCTGTTTTAAAACAAATTTTTATCTTGGAAAAGTTTCAACACCTTAAAAATCAGTACAGTGGCCCAGTGAGGCGGCTCATGCCTTTAATCCCAGCACTTTGGGACGCGGAGGCGAATAGATCACCTGAGGTCAGGAGTTGGAGACCAGACTGGCTAACATGGCGAAATCCCATCTCTACTAAAAATAGAAAAATTAGGCCGGATGCGGTGGCTCACCCCTATAATCCCAGCACTTTGGGAGGCCGAGGCGGGCGGATCACGAGGTCAGGAGATCGAGACCATCCTGACTAACATGGTGAAACCCCATCTCCACTAAAAAATACAAAAAAATTCGCCTGGCATGATGGCGGGCGCCTGTAGTCCCAGCTACTCGGGAGGCTGAGGCAGGAGAATCGCTTGAACCCAGGAGGCAGAGATTTCAGTAAGCAAAGATCGTGCCACTGCACTCCAGCCTGGGCGACAAGAGGGAAACTCTGTCTCAAAACAACAACAACAAAAATTTTAAAAATAAAAATAAAAATCAGTACAGTTCTCTCAAAACTGTATCTTTTTTCCACTCAACTGGAACTTTGGGCTACGGAAAACGTTAACCAGTACTAGTAAGGAAACTCAATTTGCCTCTACACTAATTGGGAGCGCTGAAAACACAAGGCCGCGTCATAGCCTCTTCAGCTGTCAGTGAGATCCGCCACCTTCACTTTACCAGCTAAGGAAACTGAGGCCGAGGGAAAGGAAGGGGCTTGCTTGCAGCCATCTCGTTCTTTCCTGAAAAGACCAGCGTCTGACAGCAGCAGTGTTCTGCCCCGAGGACTATCAGACGGCCCCGCGGAGTATGGATGAGACCTGTCCTCCCTCGTGCCGCCTAACCCGGGGTGAAAAACAGGCGCCCCTTCACGCAGTGCCACAGGCAGGGACCCAGAGCAGGTCTTGGCCCTAAAAGTGCGCCTTCTAGGGGATCCATAGCTGCTGCCCGCCGGTCCTCCCAGAAGGAGGGGCTGTCACTCACCTGCGACTGGAGAGAACGCAATCCCCTGCTTGGCGTTGGCCGTACACCAGGAGACAGAACTGCAAAGCGCGATGGCTGCCGTGGCCACAGTTCGCATCAGCCCCTTCCGGGCCGGCGGGTGCCTCACTAGCGACAGTCCGCAGGACCGCGTCGCCGAGCGCCCTAGGTTCCGCCACCTGGCAGTATTGCCGCCAATTCCCCAGCTGAGCGAGTCTGCTCGCATCCCCTAACGCCGCCCGGGTCTCCTAGCCGCCTGGTCTCCCCACACCCGCCCGCCCGAAGGGATTTTAGGGGCCTGCGTGCCTAGAAGGGAACACCCAGTGCCTCCCTAGGGGAAATTACCTTTGGCTTTTTTTTTTTTTTTTTTTTTTTTTGAGACGTTGTCCCCCTCTGTCTCCCAGGCTGGGGTGCAATGGCGCGATCTCGGCTCATTGCAGCCTCCACCCCCTGGATTCAAGCGATTCTCCTACCTCAGCCTCCAGAGTAGCGCAAACTACAAGCACCCACCACCACTGTCTGGCAAATTTTTTTTTTTTTTTTTGAAACGGAGTCTCGATTTTGTCGCCCAGGCTGGAGTGCAATGGCGCGATCTCAGCTTACTGCAACCTCTGCCTCCCGGATTCAAGCGATTCTCCTACCTCAGTCTCCTGAGTAGCTGGGAGCACAGGCGCGCACCACCATGCCCGGCTAATTTTTGTATTTTTAGTAGAGACGGGGTTTCACCATGTTGGGCAGGCTGGTCTCCAACTCCTGACCTCAGGTGATCCGCCCGCCTCGGCCTCCCAAAGTGCTAGGATTACAGGCGTGAGCCACTGCGCCTGGCTACTTTTTGTATTTTTAGTAGAGACCGGGTTTCAACATGTTGGCCAGGCTGGTCTCAAACACCTTAGCATAAGTGATCCACCTGCCTCAGCCTCCCAAAGTGCTGGGATCACCACCGCGCCCTGCCTAAGATACATTTTCAAAGTACACGTGTTTATTGAATTCATTTTTTTCTTTTTATTTGTGCTTATTGAATTCACCAGTGATTTACACACTGTAGCTATGTACCAGATAAATGCTGGTTATTCAGCTTTTATTCAGCTGGTTATTCAGTTGTTTTATAGATGGTCTTGGCTGGGCACGGTGGCTCACAACTGTAATCTCAGCACTTTGGGAGGTTGAGGTAGGCGAATCACCTGAGGTTCGGAGTTCAAGACCAGCCTGGCCAACATAGTGAAACCCCATCTCTACAAAAATACAAAAATTAGCTGGGCATGATGGCAGGTGCCTGTAATGCCAGCTACTCGGGAGGCTGTGGCAGGAGAATAGCTTGAACCCAGGAGGTGGAAGTTGCAGTGAGCTGAGATCGCACCACTGCACTCCAGCCTGGGTGACAAAGCGAGACTCTGTCTCCGTCTCAAAAAATAAATAAATAAAATTAAAAATAAATTAAATAAATTAGATAGATAGATAGATAGATAGATAGATAGATAGATAGATAGATAGATAGTCTTGCTCTTTCTCCCAGGCTGGAGTCCAATAGTGCTATCATAGCTCACTGCAGCCTCAATCTCTTCAGCTCAAGGAATCCTCCCCACATAGCTGGGACCACAGGCGTGTGCCACCAGGCCCAGCTAATATTTTAAATGTTTTCTAGAGATAGGGGACTCACTATGTTGCCCAGGCTGATCTTGAACTCTTGGGCTCAAGGGATCCTCCAGCCTCTGCCTCCCAAAGTGCTGAGATTACAGAAGCGTAGCCAGATAGTCAGCATTTTTTTTTTTTTGGAGGCGGAGTCTCGCTCTGTCGCGCAGGCTGGAGTGCAGTGGTGTGAGCTTGAGCTAGGCTCACCGCACCTCCGCCTCTTGGTTTCAGGCAATTCTCCTGCCTCAACCTCCCGACTAACTAGGACTACAGTCGCACTCCACCATGCCTGGCTAATTTTTTGTATTTTAGTAGAGACAGAGTTTCATGGTTTTGCCCAGGCTGGTCACACCCGACTAGTTTTCTGCATTTTATTAGAGATGGGGTTTCACCGTGTTGCCCAGCCTGGTCTCCAATGCCTGAGCTCAGGCAATCCATCCGCCTCGGCCTCCCAAAGTGCTAGGATTATAGGTGTGAGCCACCGCGCATGGCCATAGTCAGCCTTTTTGTATGTTTATTTTACTATGGAACAGTTCATGAATTTGCCTGTCATCCTTGTGCAGGGGCCATGCTAATCTCTGTATTGTTTCAATTTTAGTATATGCGCTGCCAAAGAGAGCATACAGGTATTCAGCTTTACATAAGACTGTTTTGACATCAATGTACTTTTCTAATGGATTGGTGTTGCCTTCTTTAAATGCATCAAGAGCTGTTTAGGGATTCTCAGCAAAGCCTAGCATTGGCTCTGCTGGATCTCCTCTTTCTGCTCCAGCCTCAGGAAGTGCTTCACACCATGCGCTCTCCCTTGACACTAGGGTTTCCCTCCGCCAGAAAAGCTTCTACCCACCTCTGCATTTCACCCAGCTAACTCCTACACACTCTTCAGGTCTCAACTCTTCAGGTCTTCCTCTCATCAAGGCCTTCCTCCCAGATTTGGTTAAGTCCTCTGTCACAGATATTGAGATGGAGCAGGGACCCCTCTTAGGGGCCTGCCTGGCCCTCCCAACCAAGTATGGAAATAAGGGAAAATCTCGAGTTCCTTTAAGGGAAATTCCCCATACCTAGCTAGCCCTGAGCAACTTGATAAGCAAGAAAGTAATAGTAGCTCAAAACAACAGCCTAAGAAGTTTGAGTCATAAGATGTTTGGTTCTTTATAAAAACTAAAGATAACATCTTTACATATGTCCCTGAGTTGTTTTTCAGAAACCCAGACCCATATCAAATGGATCCACGGGAGCCGGGTGTGGTGGCTCATGCCTGTAATCCCAACACTTTCAGAGGCTCAGGCAGGAGGATTGCCTGAGCCCAGAAGTTTAAGACCAGCCTAGGCAATACAGTGAGACCTCATCTCCACAAAAAATAAAATAATTAGCTGGGCATGCTTGTGTGCCTGCAGTCCCAGCTACTCGGGCGGCTGAGGTGGCAGGATTGCTTGATTTGAGCCTGGGAGATCCAGGCTGTAGTGTTCCCACCACTGCACTCCAGCCTGAGCAACAGAGTGAGACCTTGTCTCCTCTACCAAAAAAAAAAAAAAAAAAAAGATAGTCCATCTTTTTAGGCCAAACCAATGTATAACCTCATGTACTGATATACAATTTTGCCTATAACTTCTGCTTTTCTGAAATTTACCCCTCCCTTTAAAAACTCTTGCTTGGGCCGGGCACAGTGGCTCACACCTGTAATCTCAGCACTTTGGGAGGCCGAGGTGGGCAGATCACCTGAGGTCAGGAGTTCAAGACCAGCCTGGCCAACATGGTGAAACTGCATCTCTCTTTAAAATACAAAAATTAGCTGAGTGCGGTGGTGCACGCCTGTAATCCCAGCAACTTGGGAGGCTGAGGCAGAGAATCACTTGAACGTGGGAGGCGGAGGTTGCAGTAAGCCCAGATCGCGCCATTGCACTCCAGTCGGGGCTAGAGAGTAAGACTCTGACAAAAAAACAAAAAAACAAAAAAAACAAAAAACAAACCACTCTGGTTTGTAAGCCATTGGGGAAGTCAGGTCTTAAGTGTGAGCTGCCACATTCTCCTTGTTTGGCGCCCTGCAAATAAACACCCTCACGTAAAGCCTCAATATAGATGTCAGGCCTTACTGCATTGGGAAGCAGACTCCAGTTTGGTTGGGTAACAAGCTTCCTCAGCAACTTTATGATTTACTTTTTTTTTTTTTTTGAGACCAAGTTTTGCTCTTGTTGCCCAGGCTGGAGTGCAATGGTGCGATCTTGGCTCACTACAACCTCTGCCTCCTGGGTTCAAGCGATTCTCCTGCCTCAGCCTCCTGAGTAGCTGGGATTACAGTTGTGCCCCACCATGCCTGGTTAATTTTGTAGTTTTAGTAGAGATGGGGTTTCACGGTGTTGGCCAGGCTGGTCTCAAACTCCTGACCTCAGGTGATCCATCTGCCTTGGCCTCCCAAAGTGCTGGGATTACAGGCATAAACCATGGCGCCCGGTTTACAATTTAATCACTGAAGTTATACAATTGTATACCAGCAGACATTTCATAAGCTTCCTGATGTTATGGCCCCTATATACTTTTTTTCCCTCCAAAAACTATTTTCAGGGCCTGGCACAAAATAGGTACTTAATAAATATGATTTGTAACATGAAGGACTCCTAGGAACATTTTTGTCCTCTAGGGGTTGAAGGGTTTCTTTTTTTTTTTTTTTTTTTTTGAGACAGTCTCGATCTGTCGCCCAGGCTAGAGTGCAGTAGTGAGATCTTGACTCACTGCAACCTCCACCTCCTGGGTTCACTCCATTCTCCTGCCTCAGCCTCCCGAGTAGCTGGGACTACAGGCGCCCGCCACCACGCCCAGCTAATTTTTTGTATTTTTAATAGAGACAGGGTTTCACCATGTTAGCCAGGGTGGTCTCGATCTCCTGACCTCGTGATCCACCCACCTCGGCCTCCCAAAGCACTGGGATTACAGGCATGAGCCACCGCATCTGGCCTTTTTATTTTTATTTTTCAAAGACACAGTCTCACTCTGTTGCCCAGGCTGGAGTGCAGTGGCACGATCTCGCCTCACCGAAACCTCCGCCTGCCTCGTTCAAGCGATTCTCATGCCTCAGCCTTCTAAGTAGCTGGGACTACAAGTGCCTGCCACCACGCCTGGCTAATTTTTTTGTATTTTTAGTTGAGACAGGGTTTCACCTTGTTGGCCGGGCTGGTCTCAAACGCCTGACCTCTAGTGATCCACCCATCTTGGCTTCCCAAAGTGCTGGGATTAGAGGCATGAGCTACTGCACTGGGCCAGAAGGGTTTCTTTAGAGTTCATTAATCTGCAGTGGGAGAGCCTGTTGTTCCAGTCTGGGTTTCCCTCTATACTCTCTCCACTCACCTGGTCTTGAATTCAGTTTGGTTTAATAAACAGTAACGTGGCCTGAGGCAATTCGCAAGGCTCCTCGGCTCCTTAAGATTACAGCTATTGTCCTAGATAGGCTTTCTTTCCTGATATCCTTGGCATTTTGGTGAGCCTTTAAAAAATTTGAGGCAGAGCTAGCTCCCTGACTCACATTTGCAATCCCAGCATTTTGGAAGGCTTATGTGGGAGGATTGCTTGAGACTAGGAGTTGGAGACCAGCCTTGACAACAAAGTGAGACCCTATCTCTGAAAAAAACTTTTTTAAATTAGTTAGGTGTGGTAGTGTGCATGTGAAGTCCCAGCTACTTGGGAGGCTGAGGTAGGAGGATTGCATGAGCCCAGGAGTTCAAAGATGCAGTAAGATATGATTGTGCCACTGCACTCCAGCCTGGGTGACAGAGCGAGACCCTCCCTGTATCTTTAAAAAAAAAAAAAAATTATAACATTCTATACACTTTTACAAAACACTTAAAATGAAAAACTTAATCTAGCTACAGACTAAAGCTACAGGTTAAAGACTTGTTCCGACATTAGCCACTCAAAGTTTCAGTTCCTGCATCTGTAAAATGGGGACTAATATCCAGAAGGAATTATATCATGAGAAAATAACATACAAAAAGGAATAGTTATAGGAAAAGGACCAGGCAAGTATTAAAGTTTAACTGAATCGATTTGGCCTAGACCACCGGGGGGCCTTGACTCCCAAACTGTAGAAACTTTTGGGAATTTTGAGCAGAACAGAAACATGGTCAGAATTGTATTTTTAAATGTTTCCTCTGGCAGCAGTGTGCAGATTTTATTGGAACAAGTCAAGTCTGAAAGCTGAGATAAGTAATGAGGCTGCTGCAGTTACGCAGGTGAGAGGTAACAGGGCCTGGGTTGAGTCAGTGGGAACAGAGAAATAGGCAATCCTGTGAGAAACTGTAAAGGTTGGAATCTCTAAGATTTCATGGCTGGGCGCGGTGGCTCATGCCTGTAATCCTAGCACTTTGGGAGGCCCAGGCAGGTGGATCACGAGGTCAGGAGTTCAAGACCAGCCTGGCCAATATGGTGAAACAGCGTCTCTACTAAAAATACAAAAATTAGCCGGTCATGGTGGCACGCACCTGTAATCTCAGCTACTTGGGAGGCTGAGGCAGGAGAATCATTTGAACCTGGGAGGCAGAGGTTGAAGTGAGCCGAGATTACACCACTGCACTCCAGCCTGGGTGACAGAGCCAGACTCCATCTCAAGAAAAAAAAATGATTTCACGGCCGGGCGCGGTGGCTCAAGCCTGTAATCCCAGCACTTTGGGAGGCCGAGACGGGTGGATCACGAGGTCAGGAGATCGAGACTATCCTGGCTAACATGGTGAAACCCCGTCTCTACTAAAAAATATAAAAAACTAGCCGGGCGATGTGGCGGACGCCTGTAGTCCCAGCTACTCGGGAGGCTGAGGCAGGAGAATGGCGTGAACCCGGGAGGCGGAGCTTGCAGTGAGCTGAGATCCGGCCACTGCACTCCAGCCTGGGTGACAGAGCGAGACTCCGTCTCAAAAAAAAAAAAAAAAAATGATTTCACAATTGACCTGGCACAGTGGCTCACACCTGTAATCCCAGCACTTTAGGAGGCTGAGGTGGGCGGAGTTTAAGACCAGCCTGGCGAACATGGAGAAACTCTATCTCTACAAAAATGCAAAAATCAGCTGGACATAGTGGTGCACGCCTGTAGTGACAGTTACTCAGGAGGCTGAGGCAGGAGAACCTGGGAGGCAGAGGTTATATTGAGCCAAGATCATGCCACTGCACTCCAGCCAGGGTGACAGAGCAAGACTCTATCTCAAAACAAACAAACAAAAAGCAACAATTCATGATTGATTGCATGTGGCTAGCAAAAGCAAAAGAGGTAACAAAGTCCAAAGTTTTACTTGAATTAGTAAGTCTACTTCTCTCTCTCTAGTGCAAACACCTTACTGCAGGCCACCATCACTTCTGGCCCAAGTTACAACAACAACTTCATTATTTCCCCTCCAACAACTTATCCTCACAGTGGCTGGATAGATTTTTTTTTTTTTTTGAGATGGGGTCTTGCTCTGTTGCCCAGGCGGGAGTACAGTGGTATGATCATGGTTCACTGCAGCCTCAACTTCCCAAGTGATCCTCCCACTTTAGCCTCCGAAGCAGCTGGGATCACAGGTATGCAACTCCATGCCCAGCTAATTTGTTAAAATTTTTATAGAGATGGAGTCTCCCTATGTTGCCTAGGCTGGTCTCT